AGTGGGGACAGAGGGGACAGCGGGGACAGGGGAGCCCTGGGGACAATATCAGGTTTCTTGGGGGAGTTTTGGGGCTGTGGGGTGGGCTCAGGGTGTCCCCGGGGTGTCCCCACTGTCCCAGGGTTGTCACAGGGGGGTCTCGGGGGTGTCCCCGGGGTGTCCCCACTGTCACAGGGTTGTCACAGGGGGTGTCCCCGCTGTCTCAGGGGGTCTCAGGGGGTGTCCCCAGGGTGTCCCGGGGTGTCACAGGGGGGTCTCGGGGGTGTCCCCGGGGTGTCCCCGCTGTCCCGGGGTGTCCCAGGGGGTGTCCCCGCTGTCCCGGGGTGTCACAGGGGGTGTCCCCGGGGTGTCCCCGCTGTCCTGGGGTGTCCCCGGGGTGTCCCCACTGTCACAGGGTGTCCCCAGGGGTGTCCCCGGGGTGTCCCCGCTGTCCCCCGGTGCCAGCAGCAGGTCCAGGTAGGCCCCACAGATCAGGTCCCGCTCCTGCACCCCCAGGTGCTGCAGCAGCTCCTGCGCCACGCGCTGCCCGTCCTGCTCGCTCTGCTCCGGCCGCAGCACCACCTGCGGGGGCTGATGTCACCTGGGGGCACCTGGGGACACCTGGGGGCACCCACAGCACCACCTGCGGGGGCTGATGTCACCTGGGGGCACCTGGGACTCACCTGGGGGCACCTGCAGCACCACCTGCGGGGGCTGATGTCACCTGGGGGCACCTGAGGACACCTGGGGGCACCCTGAGCACCACCTGCGGGGGCTGATGTCACCTGGGACTCACCTGGGGACACCTGAACTCACCTGGAGCTCACCCGGAGCTCACCTGGAGCTCACCTGGAGCTCACCCTGAGCTCACCTGGAGCTCACCTGGAGCTCACCTGGGGCTCACCTGGAGCTCACCTGGGGCTCACCTGGAGCTCACCTGGGGCTCACCCTGAGCTCACCTGGAGCTCACCTGGAGCTCACCTGGGGCTCACCTGGGGGTCCTTCAGCTCACCTGGAGCTCACCTGGAGCTCACCCTGAGCTCACCTGGAGCTCACCTGGGGCTCACCCTGAGCTCACCTGGGGCTCACCTGGGGCTCACCTGGAGCTCACCCTGAGCTCACCTGGGACTCACCTGGGGCTCACCTGGAGCTCACCTGGGACTCACCTGGGGCTCACCTGGAGCTCACCCTGAGCTCACCTGGAGCTCACCTGGAGCTCACCTGGAGCTCACCTGGAGCTCACCCTGAGCTCACCTGGGACTCACCTGGAGCTCACCTGGAGCTCACCCTGAGCTCACCTGGGACTCACCTGGAGCTCACCTGGGGCTCACCCTGAGCTCACCCGGGGCTCACCTGGAGCTCACCTGGAGCTCACCTGGGGCTCACCTGCCCCTGCCCCCGTGCCCCGCTGCCCACTCACCTCCAGCTCCAGGAAGTCTCCAAGCCCCTGCACCTGGTCCAGGTGCAGCCGTGTCTGACCCAGCAGCAGCAGCAGCCGCTCCTTCCGCACCGTGCCCAGCGTGCCCAGGGCCTGGGAGAGAACCACCTGGGGACAGGTGTGACACAGGTGTGACAGGTGTGACACAGGTGTGACACAGGGACATCACCGTGCCCAGCGTGCCCAGGGCCTGGGAGAGAACCACCTGGGGACAGGTGTGACACAGGTGTGACACAGGTGTGACACAGGTGTGACACAGGTGTGACAGGTGTGACACAGGTGGGACAGGTGTGACACAGGTGGGACAGGTGTGGGACAGGTGTGACACAGGTGTAACACAGGGGTGACACAGGGGTGCCCAGGACAGCACCACCTGGGGACAGGTGTGGCACAGACACCCCACAGCCCCCAGAACACCCCAGAACACCCACAACACCCCACAACACCCCAGAACACCCCACAGCCCCCCAGAACACCCCACAGCCCCCCACAACACCCCAGAACACCCCAGAACCCCCCTCAGGCCCCGCCCCTCACCTGCAGCCCCCCAGGGTCGGCCGTGGGGGCGATGCTGAAATTGGAGAGTTTGGGGCCGGCCCTGTCGGGGCGCTCGTAGAAAATCAGCTCCCCCCGACCATCCTGGGCACAGGTGGGCACAGGTGAGCGCAGGTGAGCACAGGTGAGAACAGGTGAGAACAGGTGAGGGCAGGGACAGGTGAGGACAGGGACAGGTGAGGACAGGGACAGGTGAGGGCAAGGACAGGTGAGGACAGGGACAGGTGAGGGCAAGGACAGGTGAGGACAGGGACAGGTGAGGACAAGGACAGGTGAGGGCAAGGACAGGTGAGGACAGGGACAGGTGAGGACAGGGATAGGTGAGGGCAGGGACAGGTGAGGACAGGGACAGGTGAGGACAGGGACAGGTGAGAACAGGGATAGGTGAGGGCAGGGACAGGTGAGAACAGGGATAGGTGAGAACAGGCCCCAACCACCCCTCACCTGCGTCCGCCGCAGCTTCAGCCTCCCCCGCGGCACCCGGAAGAACGTGTCGGTCTGGATCAACACCTGCCCTCCCTCGGGGCACACCTGGGACGGCTCCAGGTGCTCACCTGAGCCCTGCCCCGCCCCGGGGCACGGCCGGTGCAGCTCCCGGAGCCTCAGGGCCGCCCTCAGCGCTTCCTCCCGCGCCCTCAGCCTCGCCTTCACCTCCACGTTCCGCCGCATCCCGCCGAGCTCTCCCATTGGCTGCCGCGCTCGCGCCGCCCTCCCCGCCGCTCCTGATTATTGGTCGGTTGGACCGTCAATCAGCGCGGCGCGCGTTGTTATTGGTTAGGCGAAGTCACGTCCCGCCCTCGCTGGCGGCAGCCGCGCGCCCTGGCTGAGAGGGACGGGGCGGGGGCGACCATGGCGGCGGCGGAGGGGGGCCCGGGCAGCGGCGGCGGGGACGGCGATGTCCCCTCCGACACCCGCCTGCAGGCCTACGCCTGGTGCCGCGAGTTCCTGGCCGGTTCCTGGAAGCTCATCGGACCGGAGGAGTTCGATATCTTGCCGGTCAGGTAGGAAGCGGAACCGTCGTGAGGCGTCCCCCCCTTCCCCCCCCCCC